TTTTTTTTTTTTTTTTACCTTTGCCAAATCAAATCTGGAAAGGCGAAACCAAGAGTCTTCACGCTAGGTTCATCGCAAATCCAAGCACTGGGTTCATCACACCTTGTTCTAGCCATCCATCTATTATTACTATGAGTATTTAGAGTTTATAAAATGGAATTGTCCCCCTTGATTTAAAGTTTTGGTTGGGTTCTAATCATTCATCTCTACTTTCAATTAATTCAGCACTTCTCCTACTCTCTTCTTTGTGTGCTTACAATAGCCATATACATGCCCAGATCGTCAATTAAAAAGGGTATCATTAGACTCGGTAAAGATGGATAACCAATTGACAAGAGAAGAAGGCACATTGATTGCCATGGCAACATCTGGATCCTTTTCGCACGGTCGAGGCACAGACAAAGCAGCACAAATTCACCACATTAGGTTGCCATTTCCATTCTATCAATGAAGTTTGATTTTTGTTGAGCAATAACAATAAGAAAGTAGGGTGGAATTAAAAACCTGGCCAAATCGCTCTAAAACCATTTCAAACCCATCCCCAATTTCAAATAGACATGAAAGGCAATGGAGTGAGGAAACGACTGGAGCAATGCTTAAGGAGGAAAGGAGTGGTGGGTGAATGCAATGTCATAGGGTGTTCCTTCGATCTTTGAAATTCCTTGTAGAAGGTTAGATCTGGAGGCTCAATCTCCGTTTTGAACACCATGGAAGTTTCAAACCCTAAGAAATGCAAGCGGGACAGCGCCATCGCACTCGACAGCGACAACGACCTTTCTCTCTTCGAAGCCATTAAGAAATCTCAAAGCACCATCGATGTGCTGGACATCTGCACCCTCAAAAAACTAGTCCTCTCCTTCAAGTGTCGATTTAGAAAGAACATCAAGGCTTGCATCAAGTACCAAAACCAGTTGGAGCACTTTGCGGACTCCGAGGTAGGCCTCCATGACAACCTCCGAAAGCTCAAGATCTTCACTGAAGCCCTCGAGCTATACCCCGACCTTGTCAATCTGAACACCATCCCTTCTATACTCAATCTTTTGTTGCTTGGGTTCATGATGAACCCCATGCCTAGAATCGTGACAAACCCAACGAACCCAGGCACATGGGTTCGCCTTTCCAAATCTGATTTCCATAAGGCAAAGGTAAAAAAAAAAAAAATGAAGGTTGGAGGAAGGAGAGAATAAGATAGAATGAGGAAGAAGACGGGGGCAAATAAGTAATTAAAATTAAGTACCTTTAAGC